AGGGTTTTTCTTGATTAAGAGTCCAAGCGGACAAAAATGACACTTTGATGTTTGTTTTGAATCTTTTACGGAAGAAGTGTTTTTTTAGTTTGTTTGCAATCTCTGACGCACTAGAGACTATGATTCGAGACTGACTACGTCGTGTGTCACCCAAAGGGTACCACACTAAGCAGCCAGACTACTGGAAAGAAGCTCTCCAGCAACCCTTTCTCGAATAGCTTAAGGCTCGTAACGTACGACATCGATTAACCTTATTACTGTATTTTTGAGTTCTTTCGAGATAAGAAGAGAAAGAAGCTCTAAAAAACCTAGGGTTGAAAAGGGAATAAAAAACTAACCTAATGTTGTCATGCATGGATAAGAATCCTAATGTCTGTCGTAATTCCCTCCTGCACAGAGGAAATCAGAGATCCTAGGGGATAAACAGAAAAGAAAGCAAGCAAATACAGTAAAATGCATGCAATTCAGTAATACAAGCGAGGCAATGGAGTCCTGCTCAACCTCGAACATGGGAAAACAACAGGCAAAGTGAACCAACATTCACCTCAAACCTAGGGGGCAAGCTACACAAGCCAACAAACAATACAGAAATTAAAAACCCAAAGCAGTGGAGGCAGCCCAAGCAACATCATCAAACTCCTACAGCAAATAGCACAAGCAGCAGCTCTGACAGCAACAACCTTCATCTTCATGAATAACTCCCATCTTCAAGTTTCAACAAACTTTCAATCTTCAACAAGCACCAAGCTTCAACAAGCAACCAGCTTAAACCAACAAACTTCCCCCAGTAAACAGCTTCAACAAGCTCCTAACTTCATCTTCAACAAGCAACAAAACCCTAGCTTCAACAAGCAACCAACTTCAACAAGCACAAACTTCAACAAGCAACCAGCTTCAACAAGTAAACAACTTCAACAAGCAACCAGCTTCAACAAGCAAACAACTTCATCAAGCAAACAACTTCATCAAGCAACTAAATTTATCTTCAACAAGCTTCAACAAGCACTAAACTTCAACAAGCAACCAACTTTAACAAGCAACACTCCTAGGGAGAATCAATTACCAAGATCAAATTGAAATGTTAAGTAACTTAATGACAACCAAAGGAAGCCACTAAGAACTTAACATTATAGTAGAATGGCATCCTCAAAGTTCTACTCTTAAAGCATGCCACTCATCCCTCCAAAGGAGAGATGTGACTTCTTTAAGAGGACTTTATGTCATTGGATTGAATGGAGATGAACAATATACTCCATGTTTGAAGAAACAAGCAAAACTAGGTCTAATGCTCTCCCTAAAACCCTAGTTTCCCTAAGCTCCAAAAAAAGCTCCACAAGAGGAAAAGCCTTCAACTCCAAGCTCTAATCTTCAATCCCAAGCATCTTCAATGAATCCAGAAGCTCCACCAAAAAGGAAATCAAGCAAGTCCAGCTCCAAAGCAGTTAACCAACCCAAACAAACAAAGGCACTCAAGAGAGAACACCACAAGCACAAGCAACTTGCAAAATACAACTAAAATAGAAAACAAAGTTGTAAAATTTTAATTAGATTCCTAGGGGAACATACAAGAGTTGGCTACAACATACTAAAAGATCTAAGCAAAAATCAATACCAAATAAGAGAATAAAATTCAACAAGACAGATGATCAGATATGAAAATAAAAGAAATCACATAAAAATAAGAAAAATCAAATTAAATTGAAAAAGGCATGAAATGGGATTTATTAATTTCAGAAAATCACAATTAAATACAAGATCATGGAGATATTTTTAAAATATTTTTTGGATCAAAATTGGATTTAATATGGATTTTAGAAATCAAATGGAATAAAAGAAAATACAAAAAAGAATAAAAGAAATTAAAAAACTAGAATAAAACAGATGCATTGGATCAAGAGACTGGTAATCAGATCCAAGAGCCCCGAGGCTACCCAAGTGAGGGTCTAGTCACCAGCTGACTGGATAAATGAAACGCTGCGTTTCATTCAGTCAAAAGTCCACAAAATAGAACAAGTCCCAGCCACACGATGAGGCTACTAAGTCTTGATTCCAAGCATATCCAATGGCAATGAACTCATTTCCTACCTTCAACTCAGGCCAAGGTCAAATATCTCAGACGGTGGTCTGGTGGTCCAGCCACCGTCTTCTCCGGTGAAGCATCACACACAGGCAACCAAAAACAATGATCCTTATATCAATCTCACTCAGAAAATCACCAGGATCATGAATATCATCTCCAAATCTCTTAACTCTCAATGGAAATTAAAACACGAAGCAATCTTCAGAATATGCCAAAATCTCAACCATCACCATTTGCAAAATTGAAACCACATAAATGATCACCATCCTTCAATGATCATCATGATCTATCCAACTTGTTTTGAAACCTCAAGATCATGTATAACCGTCTCCAACAGAAAATGATCATCAAACCTAATTGTCACTAATCAACTCCAAACCAATCCAGAAACGTTCCCTAATCATCCTAGGTCCTAACCACACGCACATTGCTAACTAATTCTCCCTAGAATGATGTAGAATTTTAAGGTTACATACCTGTAAAAATGGGATCAACAGAGGTGCAAAACGATGGATTCAAGCTCCACAACTCTCCAGGCACGATCAATGAAGTAAGAGGAAGCTTTTCCAACCCTCAATTTGGCTTGAATGTGCCTTGGACTCCAAAACCGTTTTCAGTTAGAAACCTTGAAAGCTCAACTGCAAACTCTCTGTTCAACACGAATTCAACACCAACCTTCATCTGAGATCATTCTAATCCATATATAGAAGCTCTCCATGGGCTTTTTGATCCAACTTGAGGCCCAATTCAGAAGATCCCAAAATCTGTCATACACTTGAAACTCCAATGCAACAGTCACGATCTGCTTATTACAGTTAGCTCTAGAATGATCTATTCAACTCCAAATGGCCTTGTGAACATGCTTGGATAGCTAGCTTGGCCTGAATTGCCCTGATTTTTGTTTTGGAATTGTAACTTGTAAATGAAGTAATCACTTTACAAAGCATGTCATGTAATCAGGCCTCATCTCAAAATTGTGTCAATGCCAATGTCTCTAAAATGCAATTTCTACTCAAAATGAGTATTCACATGATGCATTTGGGACCTATAATCCAAAAATCACATTTTCCCTCTTTAATCCCATTTGAAATTCTTTCCATTTTAGGCCCTTTTGAATCACTTCATGATATAAGCCAATTCAACCCACCATGATGACTTATCTGACCTAAAAACAACATTCTAAACACATTTCATGTTGAACAATTTTCCATTGGAGGCATGGAAGATAGAGATTTTGGCACATGCTTGAAAATGACCCATAATTCAACTTTCCCAAAATACCCCTGGATTGCCAAGATCATAACTTGAGTTCCACAAATATTCTTGAGGACTTCTGGTACTCAAATTAAATATAAGATCAAGACCTACAACTCTTATGTTGGCCAAGAATCCATTTGAAAGCTCCTTGAGGGGCAAAAGTTGCTTGGAAGTCAAGTGACTTTCACAAATAAATTTCATAGTCCTCTGGTGACCTGTAACTTGCAAGAACCATAACTTGAGTTCTACAAATCTTCTTTAAGACTTCTATTACTCAAGTTAAAGGTATTGATAAGCTCTACAAGTTCCATGTTGGCCAAAGATCCATTTGAAACTTGTATTTGGACTTATGTGGCTTTGAAGTTAGGCACTAAACAGGGGATTTTACACTGAAACCCTAATTTAGCAACTTCCCACATTCTTGATCTTTCTTTGCTTAACCTTGGCACAACACCACACATGTATCAACATACCAATCCACGAATCCCATGACCTCAAGGTAGGCCTTGATGCTCACCCATTACTCAATTGAAATAGGGTTGACCCAGATGAAACCCTAGTTGACTGCACTTCAACTGTGGCTCTTGCACTTGAATCAATGACTTGAATTAACTCCAACATGGCCCTCTAGGCATTCCATGAGATCCATACACACCTCAAATTCACATTCTATGCTTCTCATCTCATTGATGATTCTCAACATTCCTCAAGATAGGAGCAAAACCCACATGTAGGCACTCAAACTTCTCAAGACTTCAAACTTCTCAAGACTTCAAATCCTTTCTTGATGGCCTGGATGACTTCTCATCTTGGATAACACACCTTGCTAGGCTCTTCTCTGGATAGCCACCCTGATCCCTTGTTGGATGCATGCTATGCTATGATATGCCAATGATTGAACTATGTACATGATGTAATTATGCAAATGAAATGCAATGAAACATAAATCAGGCAAGAAAAGGTTGAGCAAATTTTGGGGTGCAACACCTCTTCCTCACCCTAGACACGGTAGGAACTTTAATACATGTGTTTAATTTCTGAGTTAAATATGTTTATTAATTTCATTTTTAATCCCTTAAAATATTTCTTTCAAAGAATAGTCTTCCTAAAATTTTTCTTCATATTTTTTGTTCTTAATAAAACTGTCGCTAAGTTAAAAATCGTCGTTAATTTTGTCACTAAGTTGTAAAAATCGTCGTCAAATCGTAGGAGGGACAAAAATGCAAATTAAAAATAAAAACGAAATTGAAATATTTATGAAGACCAGCATATTTAACACTTAATTTTTTTTCTTTCTATTTTATATTTCTTTTTTTTTTCTTTCTATTTTATATTTCTTTTAATTTTTCCATTTATTAAAAGAACTTAAAAATGGAATTGTTAGACTTTTTAATGATAAATTATAGGCCAAAGTGATCAAGTTTGATTTCCATTTGCGGTAGTAACGAAACGAAAATCAGTATACCAAAAAAAAAAAAAAACGAAAACCAGTATACCCAAAAAAAAAAAAAACGAAAATCAAAACCGAGCAATGAAAAGGAACGTTCCGCGCTCTGTTCGTGCTTGTCTGAAAAGTATAGAGTAGAAGAAACTGGTAAACGCCAACGCTGGATTGAAACCAGATTGAACCGAATCAAATCGATTTCAATTTGAATGATCGAAGATGTTGTTAGGAAGTTCTTCTCCTAGAGCATTATCATCTTCATCATCTTCATCATCACACGAGTCATGGGAATCAATGCTCCCTGGTCCATCAAGTCGCAACAACTTTGGATCCTCAGATCTGAGTTCCCACGGCCTCCTCGCATTCCCTTCCGGCAGTTCAATCTCCATCGTCGACGCACGTTCTATGCAGTTAGTTTCATCGTTTCCTATACCTCCTCCGCCTTCCTCCGCCGCACCGTTCGTAACTTCCGTCCGTTGGATCCCTCTCCCTCTTAATCGTCATCTTCTCTCTTCTGAACCGTCTTCCACGCATCTCCTCCTCGCCGCCGGCGATCGTCAAGGTCGCATTGCGCTTCTTGATTTCCGTTTAAAAGCTGCGATTCTTTGGTTTGAAACTGACTCTAAACAAGGTATTCAGGATCTTTGTTGGATTCAGGCACGGCCTGATCTCTTCATCCTCGCTGCTATTACCGGACCTTCTACACTTTCTCTCTTTAACGCTACCACTGGACGTTGCGTTTGGAAGTACGATGCATCGCCGGAGTATTTCTCTTGTATTCGCCGTGATCCTTTTGATTCGCGCCGCATTTGTGCAATTGGTCTCAAGGGTTTTCTATTGTCGTTGCTTCATCTTGGTGATTCTGAGGAAGGTGTAGTTATTAATGAACTTCAGATTCGTACCGATTCTAGCGAATTGCTTAAGCTTGAGAGAGATTCCGGTGGCGGTTCTTCCTCTGCTACTGCTCCACCTGCTTCTGCGGCTTTTCCGCTTTACAATGCGAGATTCATATTCTCTCAGCATTGGAGGCACATTTTGTACATCACGTTTCCGAGGGAGTTAATTGTGTTTGATTTGCAGTACGAGTGTGTGATCTTTGCTTCCACTTTACCTCGTGGCTGTAGCAAGTTTCTAGATGTGTTACCTGATCCGAGTAATGAATGGATCTACTGTGTTCATGTTGATGGCAAGCTCAGCACCTGGAGGAGGAAACGGTAAGAGTTCCCTTGTCTTAAATTTTTATATTCGGATGCTTTTCTTCTTATCAATGTCAGTATATTCAAATGCACACACATTATCAAATACAGTAGTGATTGGTAGTTTCACATATTTTGGGGTGTGTGACTAGTGAGAGAGTAACAGAATGATGCTTTAATAATTCATATATACTGGCGGTATCCGTTGATTGGAACTAGAATATTTCTGTTATATATTGAGTCTGTAATTGCTATTTTTGTTTGTCAAATTCTGGTTGTTGCAATAACACTTGAATCCTGCCAGTTTGAGAAGCCTGTGTGATATTGCTGGAATTTGATGTGAGATTATCCTTATATGAAATGAAATAAATTATCTTCTTCTGCTCCCGTGAACTGAAACTTTAAGTGAGCTGGGCAAATGACAGATTTTTAGGGGGAGGAGATGATATATGAATATCTTTATCATGATGGCTTCCTTCATTGTTAAATTATAGGGGATAAATGAGAAAAATTATTCTATATTCCTCTTGTTTTTATACTTGACATTTGCTCTGTATAAGTTTTTGAGCTGTTTCAGTAACTGTATTGCGTTTGCATTGCTCTATTTTATATATTTTTTAATTATTTTAAATTTTGAATGTCGTTTGACCTTTCAAAGCAATGTTAGGTCGTGAGCGTACTAAATACAATGCCCAAAATATATATGCATCCATCTCAGTGGATGCTACATACATTTTTGCTCTCTCACACTGTTTTCCCTCTAGTTTCTTTATTCCCTGAAATCATTGTCAAGCTAATTCACTTATAAGTGTGTTTCAGTAACTAAGAGTTATACATACCTGCATGTGATCTCAGTGGGGAACAGGTACACATCATGTATTCGATGGAAGAGTTAATGCCATCTGTTGGTACCTCTGTTCCTTCTCCTTCAATACTTTCCGTCATTTTATGCCAATCAGATACCACTCTCCAGAAGATTGGCAAGAATTATTCTGACATGCCTAGTTCTCCTTACCTTCACGAGGATTTTGATAATCCTTTTGACTTTTGTGACGGGTCCCAGATTATTTCTAAGATACACTTAATTTCCATATCCGATGATGGAAAAATATGGGACTGGCTATTGACTGTTGAAGGGAATGCAGATACTCAAAAGGATGATAAAAAGTTGGGTTTGGTCAATGATGACACTATGGTATCTTTTGCTGGTGGACGGGAACTAAACGTAGGCAGGCCACTAGAGCATCTCAATGAAAATAGAAGCCGCCCGCCAAGCTCAACCTTCAACCCTGAAGAAATTTCAATGAAGGTAAGCATGTACTTACAAGCTTGCTTTGATTTATACCCACAATATTAGCTTCTAATCGACAGTTTAGAAGATTTTTTTTGTTGCTATTCTATTGTTATCTTCACTTTATCAATTAATAAGAGAAATAATGTGAAGGAATAACAAATTGACGGGGTGAATGGTAAATATTAGAAAATTTTAAAATAAAGGTGAACATAAGTGTCTTTCATAATTTGTCTACAGTTACCTTAAACAGTAGTTAAAAAACTTGGGGGCTTATAGCCCTATATCAATGGCTCAAATGGAAAACACAGAATAGGGAAATAGAGAATACAAATTTAATGGTCTATCATATTTTTCTATTAATAAAAATAATCGAGCACTTCAATGTTTACCTAAATGTTTCTGTGTTATTTTAAGCCCTTGCAAGCAGATAGACAGCGTGCTATTGCAGTTTTTATTTTTCATTATATAAAAGAAATAAAATACCATGTAAAAATAAAATATTATATTGGAATGTTGTGTCATATGATTACAGGAGTGTTTTTATAATCACAAGAATATCTCTTAATAATTAGGGAGCATCTGGAAAATCCCTAATTATATAACTTAATAATAGCAAGTAAGTATTATGATCTTAATATTTGTGTAATATTTCAATGCTATTGTTTCATATATTCACCAATTTGTAAAGAAGAACAGATAGTTGGAACCAAATTCTGAAGTTACACATATCTTGTTTCCTTTTTGGTTCTTTTGGGGTTTCTTAGATTTTTATATTGGGTCTGACTCACCCTTGCCAAACCAATTTGTAAGGTGAGGATTGCCTCCACTTATACATGCCCAACATTATTAAGCCCGGCGCGTGGATAAGAATAATGAGTGACTCGATAGCGGAAACCTGATAGCAGGTGACCTATTGGATCTTCGTTAGACTCCGATACCGTCTTAGAATTGTGGTTGGGTTTTGCACAAACTTACAAAACCGGCTTGTAAGGTTGGGGTGTCACACATTATAAACTCTTTTCAAGCTCTATTTTTAATCTATGTGGGACTTGGGTTTTTTAAAAGTTGTTCCTGGTGTTGGATCCTATTATAGGATGTGACAGACTCACTTGTGAGAAAGATTGTGGGGTTCAAGTGTGAGTGGTTAAATCTCTATTGACTATGAGTGGATAAAATGTTGTGTAACTAGCCTAGCCACAACACACCTTGTTTGTATTTTAATAGAAATATAAATCAACAACAACCACAACCAAGTTGTATCCCACTAAGCGGGTTCGGCTACATGTATTAGAGTGAAAAGAGAGGGAGAAAAAGAGGGAAATATTTCTCAAATGAATACTGTTATTGATGATTCAAACAGTTACATTGGAGTAGTATTTATAGGCATCTTAGCCTGTGCCGCTATTGCTTAACCTACACCACATTCTAACTAATTACAAGGTTAGTTAGAGTGACATGGCACTATAAGTAATATACTCTGATAACATGGATCAAATTACGCCATAATATTCTATCAAAAATCATGTTTTTATAATATGAATAAAAATCAATTACGATTGATACTGGTTAAACATAATTGAAATGACAACTAGCATATCTTAATGTTTGATCTCTAATTGATTTTAACACGGTTGATATAAATGCTAGGGAGCTTCAGAATATAGATTAAAGGTGATTTTGATTCAAGACAAAAGGGGGTCAGCCATAATATTAGGTTGATTATTGACAGTTTAATGTGATTTTTATATGGTTAATTTGCATGGAGTTTATATGGCTAACTTAGAACACAATTTAATGATAGTACTGCTACAGTACTGTTTAGAATCTATATGGGTTGGAGAAGTTATGGCAGGGATATCATTAAGTTTTGCAAGTATCAGTTAAGAAAAAATATGCCATATAAAAGGGATTGCTACAGAAAAAGGAGAAATAATTGTATTCAAATTTGTTATAACTAGATGCACATTGGAGAATAAGGAAAAGGGAGACAGATTCAGTAACCACTCTGCCTGCCCACGACTAAATGCAACTCATTTCTAACTCGTTTATGATTGAAAAATTGTATTAAAAGAAGGCAAAATGCATGCATTTTCCAGGTTGCTTCCTTATCTTTAACACTGTTATGATATAGTATATTCGTTATGGCTTCCTTTTGTTGCTCGGATGATGGCTTGTTCAAGGGAACCTTCATATTGGATAGAGAGACGGATTGAGGAGCATCCTTACACTGACAAGGATATCTTAATCTGATTTCCGCCTGCACTTTTCCTTTACTGTTTCTCATTAATCTCGTGTCCTGGTAGTTTTTGTAGTTTCTATATTCTAAGGAGTGAGAATATGTGGCAATCCATATTTTAGATTCTGGAAGGTGACCCCAATCTATATTTTGAGAAGTGGTCTGAAAGATGAAACTAATGCACAGGGAAAACGTAGTTCAGTGGTAAATGTAATTTTCTAGTTGAACTTTTTTGAGCTTATTTGATGTTATTTCAAGGCGACTTATAGGATATTTGGATACTGCATGGATTAATCAAGTTTATTATGCCTATGAAAGATCTCTCTATGCGTAAGAGTAAAATTTTTTTTTCCAGTTATGAATCCCATTCCAAGGATATCCATATTTTTCAGTTAACTCCAGATTTTTACCTACTCGGAATTATGCCATATGTTATTGTGCTACATAGCCTCTTCTTCTGCATCAGGTTTGGATACCGATGGGAGGACAACGGCACACATAAATTGCAGGATTTCATATTAAACATGTCGAAACTCGAAACACATGATTTATTGGCAATTACAATTAAGTCAGTAAACTATGGCGCAACACCTTCAGTTTATTGACTTATTAATGAGCAATCAACTTGTGCATTTTCATTGGGACACAGTTTAAGTATGAACCCTTGCCCCTCTGCGTACACATGTATAAAACTTATCTGCACTTATGCATGCAAGGATTGTAATGCATTCTGCATTGCTATTATTTATTTATCTATCTGTACAACTTGTCCCGAGTAGTCATTCCTGGCCAATCCACCCTGCTTTCTCAGACGTTAGACAATATTCAGAAAGATGCAAAAGTTTAATATTTTTTTAAATTGTAACAAAACAACCTTCATGCTCCTGTTACCTTTGTCCTGCACCATAGTGAATCTCCCCATGGTTTCCTTTTTCATATAGATAGATAATGGGATGATACATTCTGAACATGGGGCCAGAGTTCTTTTCATTTGACTCATAATCTTTGTGTTAATCTGGCTCCTGGCTTATATATGCGGGAAAACTGCATCTAAATACTAGGTATAGCACTTATTAACATTTCATATGTTGGTTTTAGAATTTTGATGTTTACATTCTCTTGGCTTTTCTCTTCTGATTCAGATTAGCTTAGTCGGGCAGCTTCAGCTTCTCTCTTCAACAGTGACTATGCTGGCAATACCGACCCCTTCTCTGACTGCTACCCTGGCCCGTTAGTTCATTTCCCGCCAACTCACATATTTGTTTAAATTTAGCACTATACTTTGAATGGTGTAAATTGTAATTATGCATACTTGTTTTCTGTGTTGGTTGATGAGCTAATGTCATTTGAAGGTGGAGGAAATTATCCTGCAGCAGCTGTTCCCCTGGTTGCGTTGGGAACACAGTGTGGTACAATAGATGTTGTTGATGTTTCTGCTAATGCTGTTACATCAAGTTTATCTGTACATAATGGTATCGTTAGGGGACTACGATGGCTAGGAAATTCCAGACTGGTTTCATTTTCTTATACTCAGGTATATAATTTAATTTGAAATTTTTGGTTATGGATTTTTATTTTATTTCATTTCCCTAGTCCTTGCATGGTTTGTTTCTTTCTGCTGGGCTCGCTGCTATGTAATTTATGATTTGTGCATATCAGTTATTGCCTACCTATATATAGTTCATACTTCTGGAAAGCATTTATGCTTCTTGTTCCTACTTCATTATATGTGTTTGGACCCAGGTTAATGAAAAATCAGGAGGATATATTAACAAGCTAGTTGTAACCTGCCTTCGAAGTGGCCTTAACAAGATGTTCCGAGTTTTGCAAAAGCCAGAGCGTGCCCCAATAAGAGCATTGAGAACATCTTCATCTGGAAGGTAAATCTCAGAGTTATATTTATGTGCTGTGTGTGGTACCGTAGGGATCTTAAGGATGTTGATATGTGTCTGGGGTGTCTTGTTGAATTTGGTTACCTGAGTCGCAGATGATGGGTGTGTTGGAACTCAAAACCTATCTTATCTCTTTTTAGATCCACCACTCTGATTGTTAAGTAATTTTTGTTGTGAAGATTTGGTCTCCTCCTAATATTCTAAAACTTAATCGTTGATAGCAAAGAAAACAACATTTTTTTTTTCTTTTCTGAAGGGGGTGGTTCTATGGCAGAATTCACCATATGTTTAGTCTCCAACACTGTTTATCAGAGCTTTTTGCTTTTCTTTCACCTGTCTTTAATAGATTACTGAACAGAGTTATTGATTGCGGCCGCTCCCGGCGTGATCCCAGGCTATCCGGCCGGGGCGGCCCCCTTCAGCTCGCAAACATGTGAGCGAATGTCAGTCTGAGAGAGCGGCCGATTTCGGCGAGAAAGCGGCTTGCGGGTAGCGCTCCGCTGCCTGGGCAGAGCGGTTTCAGAAGACTTTTGTTTTTTTCTTCTCTCCAGCTGTGTTTCCATGGTTCTATTTGAGTTGTTTTGAAGATGGAGAAGAGAGAAGAAATATGCGCGTTTTGCAGATGAAGAAGAAACATAATAGTGGTTAGAGTAATAGTAGTTAGGGTTTTATTTGAGGTGTAATGAAATGGACCGGGTTAAAAGACCTTTTATATTACATATCTGAAATGGGCTTGAAATTGGGCCTAGAAATATCAGAGGAATTCTCTAATTAACCCTCTTAGTTTATAATATGTTAATAAAATTTAATAAAAATCATAATATTTAATAATAAAAATAATAATAAACATATCAGAATAAATAATTAAGTGTTTAATCCATTTTTATTTTATTAATTTGATTTTTATAAAATTTTTGTGTTGTTGATTTAATATTCTTTTTTAATTGTTCACACAAAATAATTTATTTGTATATATTATTTATATATTTAGTCTAAAAAATAGTCAATTTTAAAAAGTCAACAAAACTTATCCCGCTATTCCATTTTGGGGTCAGCCGCTCCGCTCCGCTATCCGCTATTAATAACTCTGAGCGCTATCCGCTATTAATAACTCTTACTGAGATTACATCATGACTTTCTGTAGTTTGATATCCACAATATTTCAGGTATCTTCTAATTTTGTTTCGTGATGCACCTGTGGAGGTTTGGGCAATGACTAAGAATCCTATCATGGTAGATGCACTTGAAACTCCAAGCTATTGAAGTTTTTCATTTTTAAATAATATTTTTTGGTATGCAATAATGTAGTGCCATAACTGGCTTAAGTATATATGGTCTTGAGTCTTGACTGCAATAATTTGTGAAGTATCTTGGTGATACTTTATTGTTGCTGTCTCATAATTTTGAAAGGAAAGGACTTTCATGTACATTTGTCTGTTTGTTGAAGTTATAGGGTTTTAGATTATGAGGGAAAAGAGAGAAAACTCTGAACTATGACTATGATTTGATATGATTGGTGAAACAAAAGACTAATCACTAACCACTATTTATACTATACTGGAACTGGCTCTTATACTACTACTAATCAAGTAGGGAAACAAATCATGATAATAACTAAAAGTATAGAAACAAGTTCAAAGAGATTTCTAAGATATTGAAAGTTAAGAAACTAATCTTAAGATATAATATAAGATACTCTAAGATATTGTCCTCTAAGTCGGCATTGCAGTTGAGTGTTTCCATCTTCTTGATAATGGCATCCATTACTTGGACCTATATCTAGTTTTTCTCTAATGCTGTCTTGATTGCAATTTAGACATGGTTCATACAAGCTACACTTTATTCCTGATTTGTGCCAGGACTTTACCTTTTTCTTTTTAAATTTTTAAAATTTTAAAATTTTATTTTAGATTTTGAAGCCTCACATGTTATAACGTTCTTCCTGATTGTAATTTTATCTGAATGTTTATAATGCTTGCTATCTCTGTGTAGCTTAGATCATTAGCTCTTCCATTTACGGTATTGGAATGGACTCTTCCAACAGTTCCACGTCCTCCTAAGGATCAAACATCTGTGGCTTCAGATGATGCATCTAAACCATCAAAGATTTCCTCACCAGATTCAAGTGGGTTATTTGTTTGAAGTGCTTAAATATTATTGGGATAGTTGCTAGTCTAGAAGTATTGGTTCCTTACCATTTTATTAAGATAATAAATAAACTAATTTCTAATTACTAATTTTAATTTATTAGAAGACGGTTCAAGTGCAGAGGGATCACAAGATGATACTTCTGAAAGTTTTGCATTTGCTCTGGTGAATGGAGCACTTGGAGTTTTTGAAGTACATGGTCGAAGAATTCGAGATTTCAGGTGTTAACTCTTTTCCATTGAGAAGCATGTGCATTACTGTGATGGTGTTGTTTTTCATGACATATTGACTCAATATTATTGACATTTAAATTTGTATTAATCATTATTGAATCCTTATCATCATTGCTTCTATAGTTATTAAGTTAATCTCTGATTTACTCCCTCCATCTTATTATATCTGTTTTTAGAATATTGATTTGTCTCAAATGATTTGTCATTTTATAATAAGAAAACATGAGTTTTTTCTCTCAACAACCCCATTATTCATTGGTATAACAACCACTAATACATTAATTAAGCAATTGTTTCTAATTAATTACTACAATAAGGGTAATTTTGGCCAAGTAAGTCATTTTACTTTAGGGCTACACATATTTTTGGTTCTCATAATGTTTGATTATGGCCCCTAATAAAATTGTGTTCTCTATTAGTCTATCAGGGGCTAAAAACATACAATATTTGTCAACTTTAAGGACTAAATAAAAAAATAGAGGGACTAAAATCAAAATTTGCCAGTTTTATATGGAATAAATAAAAAACATATTTACCCTTGATTTTATTATGGCATGGTAATCAGTATAATCAATGTTTTGCTTAAGATGCACAAATTACCTTAATATACAATACATTCATGCAGTTCTTTGTTTTCTTTTATCTGATAAAGTTACCATTGTCCACAGACCAAAGTGGCCTTCTTCTTCCTTTGTAACGTCTGATGGATTGGTAACTGCAATGGCCTACCGCTTGCCCCATGTGGTATACATTATTACTTTAGAACTGGTTCAATATCTCTCATAGAAATAAACCAAATTTAAATCGGATGATGGTTTTGACTAAATCAGTTTTTCAGGTCATGGGAGACAGAATGGGGAACATAAGATGGTGGGATGTGACAACTGGACATTCTTCCTCTTTCAATACTCATAGAGAGGGAATTCGTCGAATCAAATTCTCACCTTTTGTACCAGGAGACAATAGCCGGGGGCGCGTTGCTATTCTGTTTTATGATAATACCTTTTCTGTTTTTGATTTGGTAAGACAAAATTTTACTTTTTATGCAGTATAGGGTGGTTTGATTGTTTAATTTCATGTTTCCTTTTTTGTTGTAAATATTGAAACTTCTTATGATAAGCATGTTCAAAGCTTTGATTAATTTGGTTTTTACTGGGCATTGAACTCTATGAAACAGAATAGTAAGCAACTAATTTTTCAGGTTTTCATTTTTTATTATTTGATCATAATTCTAAACATATTTTTTGGCAGGACTCGCCTGACCCCTTGGCTAATTCACTTTTGCAACCACAATTTCCTGGAACCCTTGTGTTAGAACTTGATTGGTTGCCCTTACGAACTGATAAGAATGATCCACTGGTTCTCTGCATTGCTGGAGCAGATGGTAGTTTCCGCCTTGTTGATATTAATGTGTAAGTACCTCAAGTTACTCTAAGAAGTCAAGAGTGGTCAGCTCCTTCCTTCCTTTTGTTATTATTAAGATATGATTGGTCTAGATGGTGGGAAATGGTTTTGGCAATTATGATAACATTTATTTTGATATTAAAATGTTCATACGAAAAATAGCCTTAGCATAAATAATGTCATTTCATTCAGTTGCCGATTCCTTTAGATCCTTTTGACAACAACTAAGCCTTTTTCTACTGTGTGGGATCAGATGTATTAGGTTAGGTCTGAATCTGAAGGTATTACTTCTAAATCTTTCTTAATGGGTTGGCCTATAGTTTTCTTTGGTCATCCCTTACCTCTATCTATTGAACTATCTTTACCAGTGCCTCTGTAGGTCTTTTCAACATTTTGTAGCCCTTAAATATCTTTTGGATAGGATGCACAATTATCTATGACCAACAAAATTTGTGTACCATGCTTTTTTTGGTCAAGTGAACAAACATTTTTTTGTCAATAATCATGCTAGTCATGCATACTCTTTCGTTGTCAGGGTTTTGACAATTTGAACTTTTAATGGTTACCTCTTTGAAGCAATGTGATTTTACATTCTTTCCAATAATCATTAAAGGAATATTTCTGTGCCATCCTTGTTAATGATTGCAAGCTTTTCTGTATCATATTTTGTTCTTTCAAGTTGCTTTGTTGCAAGAGAATGTTCAGCTTGTATACAGTAGAACAAACCGGTTTTGTCAATATTAAAAACACCTTTCATAAGGATTGGGTCTATTTTTCCCCTTTTCTAAGTTTGTCGAAATGTACTCAAATGACTGCTTCTCTAGAATGTCTGATCTTGTACCTTCATCAACTTTTAGATGATTTTTTTTCATCAAGTTACTGCTGTAAATATTTTTGAATGCATGTGGCTATGCGGGGTGGATGACCTCTCTTCTACTCACATAATGCTTTATGCATTTGATTGGTTATGATTGACTTTTGGACACCTTTTAGATGAGAAGTCTTTGTTGGGTATGATTTTATGAATTTGTTTCCATATTGTTTATATAATAGTTTCCCTCACCATCATACCTCGAATACCATTTTTTTGTTTACATAAATATTCATGTACAAATGAGTGTTATATTATACACAATGGTTTTGTATGTAATTAAATTTGTATTTATTGAATCTAGAAAACACTCTGAATTAACATATTATAAGTTTATCAATTATTGAATACCTTGCTAAATTAATAAAATTCTATGGTCCCAACATTATTAATTTATAGAGAATTTTTTAAGTGCGCGTATCAAGAAGATGTATCAAATGAGAGGAGCAATTCTTCCGAATATATAAATGATTAAGATTTGCTCCTCTCACTTGATGCATACATAGCTTACATACCAAAGAGGAAGGGAGAGGTAGGCAGGAAGAACTTTGTATTGGAGATGGAGCTGCCTGGAATGTAAAAGAGATTAGGAAGTTCGATTAATTATACACACATTTTTTAAATATTCCTTTTGACATGGAGTTATTTTTTCAACTCAACAAAGTGCAACATCGATGGATATTTAGTTCATTATGTTTCTAACATTTGAGTTGTGAGTTTTCTGATAGAGATTCAATGTGTTACAAAATCCAAGTCTTGTTATATAGATGACACATGGCTAATAATAGTTGTTGCAATTTTGGGAATTTTTATAATGGACTGACTTTATGAATGACATACTTTTCTTTTCATGCAGAAATGACAAACGATTTGGTTCTGCACCCCAGATCAGAAAAACAAGGGAGAGATTCCGGGCAATGCCTATATGTTGTCCCATACTACTCCCTTCACCACATGCATTGGTAATGTGCCAACATTAAATTTACTGATTTTATTAAATTAGTAATATTATATTTTCTCATTGTCTACTACCAACTATCACTGGCGGATGGAAGTTCATGGTGAAAAGCCAAAATTCTGCCATAAAAATATGGTAGATGGTGTTGCAATCTATGGCACATGTATCCCGCTCATAATAAAAACAGACACATAAATATACCAATAAATCTGCAGAGTATAATTAAAGAAGAAACAAAGTTAACAGAAGTGGAGAAACAAAAGGTTAGGAAGTTCGACATACTAAAATAAAAAAGTGGACTAGTTGAACAAAAACAGACCCATGAGAACAAAATGCTCAAATAAAAAGTGAACTATAAAAAAAAGATTTAAGATAACACAAAAAAGAGAAGAGAATGACATAAGGAAATGACAGAAAAGTGATTTTTTTTAAAGAAAATGAAGAGAAGGAGAGGTTAGTTTAAAGGAGATAAAGTTTGAGGATTTCATGAGGCTACTGCTTGTTGACAGTGTATGTCTTTTAGGGTTTACGGGACACATTGGTTTTAGGTTGGGTCATGGCACCCTTTTCCTGGTGTTCAACCTACCAACACTGCTGTCATGGTCCGCCATATAAAATCCATAATGCCACAACCTCTGTATCGAGGTTTGTCAAAGACCTGTTGCGCCATGGCCTCAATTTGATACAACTGGAAAGTATATATAATCAACTCTCACAATGAATGTCTGCAATGGTTAACCATAAATTTTAAGTGGTAACTGATGTAAGTAACATGAACATTTAAAATAAATGAAATAGAATGGTTTTGTAGAGCCTGAGTTATTTGAATTTGTCATCTGTTTTTGTTTGATCTTAAACAAGCTTTTTACTGGGAAAATGAATTAGTTTGTGATGAAATACAAGTAAGGTTTAGGTTTCACTCTTTAGTTTATGTTGAGCACAATCCACTTTTGTTTTCCCCTTTTTTGAAACACTTGTAAAAAATTTACTATTCCCTTTATCTCATTATAGGTTCTGTTTAAGGTAATGCCCACTTTTTAACTAAATGACTAGTTATTATGCTAATTTCTATAATAAAACAGTGTGTTAAGACTAAAATACCCTTTTGAAAAAGTAAAACATCACATTAATTGGAGTAATTGAAAGTAGAAGTTGTAGAGTGTTTTGTGGATAGACAGAGACTATTTAAATAAATGAGGGTATTTATTTATTTTTAATGTTTCATTAAATATCTGCAGGCACTGCAAATGATTTTGCAATTGGGTGTTAAACCTTCTTGGTTTAATACTTGTAGTACAACCATTAAAAAAAGGCCTCATTTAATTCCAGGAGCTCCTTCACCAACAGGGGATCTTCGCACATACATGATCAGCATACCACTTCTTGGAGACTCTGTGGTGCCAGAGATGCTTCTAAAAGTACTGGAACCATATCGAAAAGAAGGTTTTTGTTTTTTTATGCAGGGTTTTGATTATGAGAATTTTTCCACTTGAGATGTATACTTATGGTGCTCTAACAACACTACCAATATTTCCTTTTTAAGGTTGCATGCTTGACGATGAGAGAGCCAAGTTGTATGCTAGGATTGTGGATAAAGGTTGTGCTGCAAGGTTTGCTTTTGCAGCTACAGTATTTGGTGAAACGTCAGAAGCTCTGTTTTGGCTACAGCTACCCCAAGCGCTTAAACATTTGATTAATAAGTTATCGACAAAGCCACCATCAAAAGGCCTCACGACAGAGTCTGTCTCTGTGGTTGATGAAACATCTTTACTGTCTAGGATATCATCAAAGGGAAAACCAACAGAAGAAATGGGGAGTGATGCATTGGTAAGATTTATTTTTGGTGTTGCACATTCCAATTGTTGTCTAAAGAATTGCTGTTAATGTAGAGTTTCAAATTCTTCTCAGTGAGTTTTTTCTTTTGGGTTAGCAGAGTCAAGGTCAACAAAGGTTGATGGCTTTTGACCAAGAAGAGTTGTGGAAAAGTGCCAGTGAGCGAATTTCTTGGCATGTGAAATTAGAAGGTGAAGAGGCTATTCAGAAACGAGTACATGAGTAAGTAAATGTATCATTTCTTCTATCATTTTGTTGATATTATATGGCTTTGCTTGACTTCTTTAGCTCAGAAGATATGCAGCTCAAACCCTTTGTGAAACTCAGTAGTAATAATACAAATCCATCGATTTTTTAAGTGTTGTACTATTTGAAATTATAATGTGCTAGTCATTGTGTTAGATCTCACACTTCTGTGGCAGAAACCATAAGATTTTCTTTTTCTTTTAATACTTTGGGAGGAATTATTACTTTTCTAGTTTTATACTCAATTGCAATTCCTTTTGAATTTGCTGCTATCAGACTTGTATCAGTTGGAAATCTAGAAGCTGCTGTTAGTTTATTGCTTTCTACACCTCCAGAGAGTTCATACTTCTATATCAATGCGCTTCGTGCAGTAGCTCTCTCTTCTGCTGTTTCAAGATCTCTTCATGAGCTTGCAGTGAAGGTGAGTTTAACTTGGACACACATGCGTGTGTCGGGCATCAAAGTACAAATTATGGTTAGTGTACAAAAAATATATTTCATGTATTAATGAGATATATTTATTAGGTTGTTGCAGCCAACATGGTGAGAGCTGACAGGTCACTCTCTGGCACTCATCTTCTGTGTGCAGTTGGAAGATATCAAGAAGCGTGTTCTCAGGTTAGGCTGCATTTACAAACATATCCAACCAGACGCGAACAATTTTAAAGTTCCCTTAACTGGTTACAGTTTGTTTATCTTATAAAGTTGTAAACAAGAGCCCCGTGTTTAATGGTTTCTTGGTAATTTTGAAGTTCAAATAATGTCAAAGAAATTTTGTTTTCTTGATTTAGGTGAGAACTAGGTCCACAATTTAGCATATTTACTAAACATTAAATAAGAAGGGAAAAAAGTTTAATGTTATGGAAGTGAACTTTCATTTTTTTTTAAAGCAGTCCCTTTTCTGACTATTGCATCACTCTGAATTGATTGTCAATTAATAAAGACTTTTTTGTTTGTTTAATAGTTAATGTTCAAACTTAGGAGTCTTGCTTGCTCTATATTTTCTACTATTTTTGGACCGATATTCTCTTGAGAATCAATTCCAAAGGCAGTGTCTAAAATGTAGCACTGACACCTCTGAAAAATGGCGTGTCCGTGTCTGTGTCGGACACCGACACCTGCACCGACACTTGTAATTACCTTTAGTTTATTCATATTTAAAATTATTATCGGTGTTGCCGTGTCGGTGTCGTATTTGGGGTGTCCGTGCTTCATAGATAAAATATCTTCAACCGGAGCATTCCGAAATAGACAACAGAAATTTGCAGATTCCAACCTTAATTTGATCTTAGTGGCAGAAGCTACTAGGAATGATTACATACATTAATGATTAAAAAACATTCTTAGAAGTTTTTTATTTATTACGTTTCATCAGAAATTGGGCCACACAACTGGAGGCAATCCATTTCTTGTCATAAATTTTACCCTACAAACATTTAACTATTGAAACTTCCAATTTAGAGTACTAGAGCCCAACAACTGAGGTATTCCAGGGGACAATTAGAGTAAGTCTCTTTGACTAGGTACAAGTGATTCCTTGTACTTCGGATTGATGTATGTCAACATGCTGAGTCTAAAATGGCCTTCCTTATTGGCAGCTTAGAATTGCTTTTTTAGGGCATGGTCAATTAAGAAACTTTCTGGTTGTTTTTTGAAAATTTTCTGTACACTTCATTTGCTTTTCCAAATTTTAAAAAATTGACAGAAATGCATCAATATGATATGATTGGTTTTCTTAGAGAAGTGTATTGTCATATCATATGCAGCTACAAGATGCTGGATGCTGGGATGATGCTGCAACCTTAGCTGCCACTCACTTAAAGGGAGCAGATTATGCAAGGTTCACTCTTTCTCGATAATAGATATTTTGTTCGTATTAACTAGAAATTTTTAAATCTATGATTGGGATTGAAACGTAACATTCATTTCATGTCATAACCCCATCTGCCATTTGAAAAATGACATTTCGTCTCTGTTTGAATGTACAAAAAGTAAATCCTACTAGCTAGTATTTCAGATATCATCTGTCTCTAACATACTATACTGTTGTCTACTTTTATGAAGAATCTGAGTTTTCCCTTTTGGTTAGCGACATAATGCAAGTAACCAATTTTCTTGAACCATATTGTATTCTACATAATTTGAAATGACTTTTCAAGCAGGATTATTGTTTCTGCATTTGTATGAGTTAAAAGGTTATTTAAATTGTATACAATCTTGACCAAGAGATCTTCCTACATTTTGTATTCTTGCAGAGTGTTGCAAAGATGGGCTGGACACGTCCTTCACAGCGAACATAATATCTGGAGGTACCACTAGTTTTTTTTATATAAAAAATTCTACCACTATTCATTCATTTTAACTCAAATGATCCAATACAGGGCTCTGATTTTGTATGTTGCCGCTGGTGCACTACACGAGGCATTGGCAGCTCTTCGCGAGGCTCAGCTACCTGATACAGCTGCAATGTTTATCCTTGCATGCCGTGAAATCCGTGCAGAGATTGTTTCTGACTTAAATATGACGGATGATGAATCAAGTTCATCAGTTAATGAGAAGATACTAAACTTGCAGGCTTTAGATCCTGTGAATGAAGACGTGATTGCAGTTGATGAATACTTTGGGCAATACCAAAGAAAATTGGTGCATCTTTGCATGGATTCACATCCATCCTCTGAATAAGTACAAGGCTTGTTCAAATTTATTCAAACTATTCATTCATATTCAGATGATTGATAACTCAAGTTGAAAAGAAAGTTGTAGGGTGATCTTAGTTGAGTTATTGTGCATTCTTTAATATCAATGGATCAGATGCTTTCATTGTTGTCACAAGAGTATAAATAGCATTTGGAAAGACTAGGGCGACATGTAATCTTTGGAGGTAGCAAGAAGCAAGAGTGTTTTATCAAACACAGTCCTCTTGATTGCAGTGGATATGGTTACATGAACTTTCTGAAATTGACATTGCAATCACATAGGTAATTGTCCCAGTGTAGATCGTATATAAAATTTTGTAGGAAACACATCATTGAATTTGTATTTGTTTGTTATGATAGGACTCCGCAATAGTTATGGTTGCATCAATCTATGCTTTCATGTATTAAATCGGTGTTGTATAAACTGTGGAACTTGTATAGTTTATATTTATATTTGAGAACATAGTAATTTCCGCACCTTGGATTATGTAACCAGTTAATTGATTGAATTAGGATCTGATGAGATGTTAGGTTCTTATACTGCTAAACATTAATCTTAGAATATGCAAGAGCCGGTCAAACCGATTACAGGTTGGTAAAAATCGATGGTAATAAAACCAGTCGAATTTTTTTTTCTTTAGATTAAAACTTTTTTAAATACAAAATATTTCTTAGTCAAATAAATAATTAATGCTAAGATATAAAACATTAATAAGATGGTTTAAAAAGAGGTTTAGGGAGTTCTCCCCTCTCTTCTCCCTCTTAAAAAGGAAATTGTTTAAGACGCTATAAAAATTGCTATCACACCTTTGTGAAAAATAAAAAATAGTTCTAAAGATAGGAGATGTAAGTACTCTAAATACATTTGTTTTTAAGTTAGGCTCTAAGGCAATGCATTTTTTTTTGTTTACAGAGAAGTTCATCTCTGTGTAATTTATAGAGATGCGTCTTCAAACATTGTTTTAATAAAAAAATACATTTGACCCTTTCTCCTTCGCTTAAAATACTTTCAAACTTTCAACCTTTCTAACTCTTTCAATTCACATTCTCTCCAATCATTCAACACACTTCAAAGCTTTTTCCGTCAACATCAATTCGATTAAAGAACTCACTTAATATCAAACAAACCCTTTCTCCTTCGCTTAAAATACTTTCAAACTTTCAACCTTTCTAACTCTTTCAATTCACATTCTCTCCAATCATTCAACACACTTCAAAGCTTTTTCCGTCAACATCAATTCGATTAAAGAACTCACTTAATATCAAACAAACTTCACATATGATAAGTTTTTGATTTTTCTAAACTTTTTTTATTTCTACATACATTTGTAGAAATTGAGCATTATGTTATGTAATAGGTAGTTCGTATATCTTATTGAAATGAGCAATGTATTTTATAGGTAGTTTAAATTATCAATGCATTGTTTTGGATGATATCATGGATTGCATTTCCGCCATTAACATGCTTCTGAGTTGCAGAACCATAAGAAAATGCATCTCTGAAATTTTTCGTTTTGATTTCCAGAATTCTGAGATGCATGCAACACCCTACTCTATCCACTTGTCTAATAAGTTAAAAATACGAAAAATAGTTTGCGAAAATTAATCAGAGTTACACGCGTAGGATGTCACATTAACAAAAATATCATCATGAAGTATTAAATCACTTCATATCTTATTCCTTAATAAAAATAAATAATTTGATTAAATAACGAAAAATCCAAATGGTTCAACACCAAGGCTCTAATTACATCAAACCTCCACAAAATCCATGGTTCAATAACATTAAGGGTCTGTTTGGTTCAAATGAGGGGGAGGGGAGGGGAGGGATTTTAATGAAGGGGAGGGGAGGGGAGGGGAGGTGAAGGAATTTTTTAATCAAATAAGTGTTTGGTTCAAAAGAGTGGAGGGGAGGGGAGGGGAGGGATTTTAATTAAAAATGTGTTTGGTTCAGAAGGGGAGGGGAGGGGTTTTATTAATAATTTACATTTTTATCCTTATGATTTTATATAAGTCATATGATATTAAAATGTGAAAAATTCGTGCATATTTTTGTTGGTAATAAAATTTCTAATATTGAGTTATTAAAAAAATATTTATTTGTCACATAAAGTTAAAAAATTGAGTACAATCGATTCGACTTATAACTTTCCAACATAAATTAAACTATATGCCAATAACATCGTTTAAATTATGATGAATCATATAACAAAACAAATATATAAAATAACTTATTACTAAATATTAATTGTTCAAAATATTTAATAAAATGAATAAACAAAAATAAATAAAATGATATGGTTTACAATTTGATATAAAAGAAAATATGATAGAGTACATAACAAAATTAAAAGAAAAAAACGAATATAACGAAACATAATTTTTTTTATAAAAAAAAGACAATGATTATGATTTATATTAATTATAAAAATTATAAAATAATTTGAAGGTGGAGAACAATTATAATAAGTTGATAAAAACAATCGAGAAAAAACAGTAACACAAAAGATAACAAATAGTTTTGAAATAATAAAATTAAACTGAGGATATTTTAGTAAATATAATAATTTTTAAATATCAAAACTCATATTTCCTCCCCTCCCCTCCAAATCCCCCCAATTCGGAGGGAACCAAAAAGTGTGTTTTGGAGGGATTTTGCTCCCCTCCCCTCCCCTCCCCTCCCCTCCTAAAATTTGAACCAAACATATTTAATTAAAAATTTCCCCTCCCCTCCCCTCCCCTCCCCTCCATCTACCCCGAACCAAACACACCCTAAGTAAATCATGATACGTAACGAATAATAAAATAATAAATAACATAAAGAAAAAACGAAATCCCCATCCTTCCCGTGTTATGTATCAAAACGACTCCTAAGACTCGATTAATAGCAACACATGCTCTAAGCACTACTCAGATACCTGATTATCTGTACTCCCTATGTCTAATTATATCATTTTAGTCTTACGAACCAAGAGGAATAGCATCACACGCGAAATCGGGACAAAAATTGCAAAAACGGAAAATTTCCAACACAAGTATGCCCATACGCGTATAGCCATGCCCCATACACGTATGACCCTGCTTACCACGCTCCAGGCCTGCATATGGTACACGTAGGGCTCAAGTGCCCAGGCCTCTATACGCGTATTTTCACTGCCTTACGCATATGACCAGAGGGGATTTCCCTCCAAAACCTCTCCAAAAATTTCCCATATGCGTAATGGCCTTGCCATACGCGTATGACCACTCCACCTTACACGTATTGGCAGAGGTCGTGCTGGCCACGGGGACAGGCCGTGTACCATACGCGTATGCCCCCTAGGAACGTCCCCCATACATGTAATGCCCTTTGCGTTACGCGTATGACCTTGCATGTACAGAAAAAAACAGTTTCGCATCAGTGCGATTTTTCCCATTGGAGCACCCTTAGGCTCCTATTTCAGACTCAAAACAACATCTATACCAGTTTATCATGAACAAGTTCATTCTACTTCATTAACCTATCAATTTATAAACGTTTTTCATCAATTACATCACATTTTCGTCACATCTCAAAACCTCTAATTTTCAAGATCTGAGTTCATGGTAAACACAACAACGTACAATTCAGACAAATGCATATCAGAATAGTACACATATCCGAATTTACAATGATCATCACTCCATAATACAATCAGTCAAGAAGAAGAAATAAACAGAATCATAAGAGGGGAAGGAACCCCCACTATCCTCTCATGTTCAGACCACCATTAAAGAATATCATTCTCCCATTTACCTTAATTTCCAAGTTTTTTTCTCTTTTTAACTATGGTGGAACCTTTGATAATTATTGCCCTAGCTCTGCTCCCTTCTTCTCTCTGTTCTCTTTTCACATGAAACTAATTTCTCCCACTTTCTTTCCCCTAATTATGTTTAATTCCCTGATTTTAATAATAATAATAATAATAATAATAATAATAATAATAATAATAATAATAATAATTATAATAATATAATAATAATAATAATATTAATAATAATACTAACAATATTAATATTAATAGAATATGCATATTATTATTATTATGACAATACTATCATACGACTTAATTCCTTCCACTAAACTCTCACCCCCACCCTTAGCCAAAGCAATGTCAGAATGATTAAACAAATAAAATTACCACACAATTAAATATTTAAATGGGGTGTTACAACTCTCCTCCACTTAGAATATTTTCGTCCTAAAAAATGTACCTGATGAGAACAATTCCGAATACGACTCTCGTATCTTGCTCTCCAATTTTTAGGTCACACTTCCTCTAGTAGCTTCTCCCTAAGCTACTCTCACTAAAGGAATGTCTTTTCCTCTTAACTGTTTCATCTTGCAATCCTCGATCTTTATTGGCATCACCTCCACGGTAAGATTATCTTGAACCTGCACTTCATCCCTCTGAAGCACATGAGATGGATCAGGAATGCACTTCTGAAGTTGCAACACATTAAACACATCATGCAAATTCAAAAGTTCGGGTGGCAGCGCCACTCTATATGCAACAGCTCCCACTCTCTGCAAAATTTGATATGGTCCAATGAACTTAGGATTCCGTTTCTTCAATTTCAATGCACGACCAACATTGGTCACATGATTGACCCTTAGAAACACATGGCCGCCTTCGCTGAATTCCAAGTCTTTCCTCCTATTATCATGATAGCTTTTCTGCCTACTCTGGGATGCCTTCATCTTCTCCCTAATCATATGGATTATCTCTGTAGTCTGTTGTAAAATCTGGGGTCCAAGCACAGTGCTCTCACCCGACTCATACCAGCATAGGGGTGTCCTACACCTCCTGCCATACAACGCTTCAAAAGGCGCCATTCCGATACTAGAATGGTAACTATTATTGTAAGTAAATTCAATCAACGGTAAATGGGTATCCCAAACACCTCCGTGCTCGAGTATACAAGCTCTCAATAATTCTTCTAGTGACTAAATAGTCCTCTCAGATT